CCCAAGAATCGTAAATGCTTAAAAATAAACAATTATGAAATAAAAAATTATTTCAACAATTTCGCAGTCGGTAGGACTCGAACCTACGCTCCCAGAGGGAATCTGATTTCTAGTCAGACGCCTTAACCACTCGGCCACGACTGCTACTGTACATACGTGTACTTAAACTTCATAAATGCTGAATTAGATATAAAGAAAACTTATAAATTTACAAAATTGTTAAATAGACATAAGCTGTCACGACCTGTTCGTGATTTTAACATTAACTGCAATACTTCGTCTCATTACCAAAGCGTTAATCCCAAAGAAATCTGAATTGGAACGTAATAACTATAATGATTTTAGAATTCTACATGATTAGAAGCATGATCTAATGGAAAAGATACAATCGTTATACAAAAACATGGAAAACGTTGGAAAACAGTAGTCGAATCGAGTTATGGTATTAAAAACAGAGTTGCCGACAGAGATTGAACATTCGAAAATAAAACTTACTTAATAACGGTGTTGTTTCCCAAACATTTCCTCTATCGAACGGCATTTTTGCATGATGGAATACTATTACGAGGCAAGCTACGTATCTACGTACGCTCAACACAAAAGTCACGCATAGCTTACACAGTTGTCTAACTTGTAACAGAGCTGGTAACGTCGGTAATGTAGAGCATGCTTATTCAATACGATTATCAATGCAAAGTCATCACTCGGAAGTCTGTGGACAATGCCATGGACATTATATGTAGCAGGATTGCCTCATCTATTCTCAGATAACGTATCATTCAATGACGATAAAATACAAAGTTATGATTTTTGTTTACCACATAGGAAAATATGTAAATACTTATGTTCCTTGCGATTCAAATATACTTAAAAGTTCAGTTTACATTGTAATTTCTCTTCAATAGAGTGTTATCGATTGGATGAAAAATACTGATTTGCATTGAATTATTTAATCAGTTATTGTTATCATTGAAGCAGATGATATTTTCTATCACACTTTGCACTACATTATTTCATTGGCTTGTATAAAAACACAACTTTACAAGCATAATATAAATATAAAAATTAATTATACATATAGAAATATAATTTAAAAAAAATAACATTTATTTAAATATTTGTATATTTATGACTATTTCTTTTTAACCGACTCCGAAAAGAAGGAGGTTACTCAATTCGACATGTATATATATAAAACTTAAAAAAGGTAAAAAAATTACGCCAAGTACATGAAAAAGTGGAGGACTCAAGGAGTTATCATTGAAAAATAGAAGATCCCCATAAAAAACTACAAGAAGATAGAAAATGATGTGAAATCGAAATAAGCTGCCAGATGATTTGCCTAGATTTCCGCGGCCTGGAAGTCAAATGCTTGGCGTGGCCAGGCAAGGCATTCTTAGATCATCAATACCCATAGTTTCTCTCTCACAGACTTTCAGATAATTTGTCAATTTAAAACTCTGACAATATTATGAGTACACATTCATTGTTTTACGTTTTATATAATTCTTATTCATCGACACCTTCACCTTGCCTATGTGTTAATTATATATATAATTAATATATATATATTATTTATTATTAATTTAATTAATTAATTTACTTATTTATATATATATATATATATTTCATATAATTTATTAATTATAAACACTTATTCGTTCAATTTATAAATAATTATATATACCTGCAATTTTTGTCTTGCTGCAAAAAATTTTAATGTTATTGATGAAATGAGAAAATGACTCCATTTCTATAAGCTCTACATAAAAAGTCTAAATTCAAAACACTAGTGGTATGAATCTATTCTGTAAGGTACCTGACAATTCAGATTTTGGCAACTTACCTTGTAATCAAAAGTGATCTACATTTTACTTTACTGGCAGCAATTTGTTAATCTCCAATCCTGTGGGCCCCCTTAATTTCCACAAGCTCTACATAAAAAGCTTAAATCCAAAACACTTTGGTGGTATGGATCTATATTAAAAACAGTTTTCTGTATGAATAAAGGTGTTTGGCAATTCAGATTTTGACTTACTTACCTTGTAGTCAAGATCGACCAACACTTTACAACACTGGCTGCAATTTGTTATTAAACCCTATATAAAAAGTCTAAATTGAAAACATTTTGCTGATATAAATATAATTAATAATGGAATATTGTAAAATTTTTTGACACTTGGCAGATTATGAATGATGACATCTGTTTCGACTCTCAACGCTCGATGGCCGACGAGCCATGCCGAACCGAATGATTCCGAGAGTCGACGAACGACACTCAGCTTTTGCTTACCTCCTATTGGCTAAGGGTTGACGACGGGAAAATCATACGAAACATACCGTTTTTGACAGATTCATGACATGATATTACGATATCTCAGTTGTACGTGGACCGATTTGATTGATTTCGGTTTTATTCGAAAGCTTATATGCGGTTTACATAAGAAAAATGCCTTTACATTTAGAAAATATTGCAGGCGTGTTGAGATATCCATGAAAGAAATGTCAGGTTAGGTTGGAATGGATCATCTCTCCTGTAAAAGATACGTGGTAGCTTCAACGCCATATATACGCGGTGACGGATAATTTTTCATGTACTTGGCGCCGAGACGATACCGCATCTCTAGATTTTGTTATATGTCTGTTCACCGATTACGTCGAGATGAATTGACTAATCGGAATGAAATCTCTTGCATCTTGTAGAGTATGTCTCCCAGGTGGACCCGTTATGAAGACATTTTGAGATTTGTCACTGTTTACACATTTTTATTTTGCAAAAATCCGAAAAATGTTGTTAATTAAATTATTTTATTTTTATTATGAAATAACTATTGGAAATAACGGTCCGAAATAAATTATTTCGTATAGTTATTTCTTATGTTCATTTCAATTAAAATATTTCCAGATCTGACTACTTTGATAGGTGTATGTTATTATAAAAAATAAATCATAAAAACCCTTTATATCATGGTTATTAAGACCTATTATGAAAAAATAGTTTATTTTATTTTTGATACAAGTACGTTGCATAATTTAAATTCTTGCTATTTTATATTTCCAAATAAAATATATATCCTTTTATGAAAATATATTAAAATTAAAAACATTTTCTCGTCATTTCATAAACCACAAACAGAAATATCTTCGTTCTACGATAATCAATAACTAGTGCAAAATCTTACTGAAGTACTAAATACTGAAATAAATCTAATGTTAACAAGAGACTAACAATAGATGATCTTACTTCCTACTAATTATCGAATTGATAGCCTTGATCAACGCGATATCTCTATCCTCGTCCGCAAAATAATGTGTCATTAAGTGTTCAATAAACAGACAAGAGGGTACAATATCCTTGTTTTTCAAAGTTATCGACAATAGTACAAGTATCACATTCAATATATCGATCTTATTCATTTTCTGTTAATTGCTGATGTGGTAAATTAAGATCCTATTTGCTGACCTTTGACATGAATACAACAAAAATATTAGAGTTACACATAAGTAAAGTCGGTTTTTTACTACTATACAAATTATATTTTATTTAGGATTAATACTATTTGAATCTATAATATAATTTCATGATTATTGACAATCTTTGCTCATCATTTGAGTCTATTCCAATTTTGTAAAAAGTGGATTATTTTGAACTAAATTGGTTTTCAAATGCGATTTTTCATCAATTTCAAAAGATAGCAATCTGTTTAGGAGAATACGATGAGTGAGAATGTACTTCTTATCTCAACACTGATTTTTTTTCTTATGTAATTCTGGCACTCTCAGATTTTGCATTGTCATGCTGCAGAATAAAACTTTATCAATTACACTAGTTTACAGTCAAAATGTACATTCAATGCCACAATTTTTTCTTATGTATTTCGGCTTACTAAACTTGAAAATCGCAATCAAAATTTTTCAATGGATAAATTCTTTTTATATAAATTTTTGAATTTTTTTTCGATTTTTTTCTGACATACGTTCACATTTTAAGCCATATCTCGAGTTATAAACGTCCGATTGAGTCGCGCAAGACGCCATTTTAAAGGTAATCAAATTTTCAACAATTGCTTTTTCACATTATTTTCCAATCGGTTTAATTGTTTAAGTGTTACGAGCCAATATATATGAGAAACTTTGATTTTTTCGGCTAAAATAGAACACGAATATTTCGACCATCGCCATGGAAAGATAGAGATTGTCAAATTATGTCAAGTTTCTTATTGTTTACGTATAGATCGCACTTTTCGAAGAAAGCAAGCTTTTGTTGAAGAAAATCTATGGATAAATACCGGAGTTAGGAGGACTTCCGTTTCCGGTGACAGAGTGTGTGAGTCGTGTGAAAAGTGTAAGGAAGTTTGGAGGAAGGTAGTGTGGGTATAGTGTGGTGGTAGTGAGGGCTACTGGGGGAGGGTAGAAGATAGTGAAGGGTGTGAAGGAAGGGAGAAAAATCGGTGTGAAGGCTGTGCACGTGTCGTTAGAGGTTAGGTAGCGTGATAGAAAAGTAGAGCGACGGTAGCGACGCGGCGCGGAGATAGTGGGAAGGGCATAGGGAGCGCGGGGAATGCTAATTAGAGGATAGTAGAAGAGGAGAAAAGGGAAGTGGAGGATAGTAGGAAAGTGAGGAAATTGCGTCGAGAGGATAATGGAGGGCCGACCGACGAAGGCAGTGGCTTGAGGTAGGAAAAGGACGGGGATTCTAGGGAATATAGAGGATTTGCTTAACAGAGGAAAAAGGAAGGAGAGGGGAGGGGAGGAGGAGATGGAAGCAAGGGAAGTAGAGGAAATATTTAAAAGAAGTAAGAAAGTAGAAAGAACGCCAGAAAAGTTGGGGATAGAGGGAATGAGTTGATGGAGGGAATGAATTAAAAGAGAAAAAAGAGGAAGGAGGGGAGACAGGTTAGGAGGAAAGGAGGGAGTTGAGTAAGAAGGTGAGGGAGTTGGTAATAAGAATAGATAAAAAGGAGAAGGAAGGGAGAAGAAGGAATTTGATAATAAAAGGTATGAAGGTGGACGGGAAGGGGAAGGAAGAAGTGGTAGAAGAGATTTGGGGGAAGATAGGTGCGAAAGAGAAAGTAGAGGAAGTAAGGAGGATAGGCAAAGTGGATAGAGAGGGGAGAGGTAGATTGCTGGTGAAGATGGAAGGAGTGGAGGGAAAGAGGAAGGTAATGATGGCAAAAAGGGAATTAAAAGGGAGGCCGGAAAGAATAGAAGACGATAGAACAGAGGAAGAAAGGCGGGCAAGGTGGAAGATAGAGAGAGAGGCGGAAAGAGAGAGAAGAGAGGGAAAGAGGGTACAGATTGGGTACATGAAGATGTGGGTTAATAATGATTTGAGAAGATGGGATGAAGTGGAGGAAAAGTGGATAGATGAACAGGGAAACGGGCAGATGGGGTTACGAGCAGAGAAGGGAAGGCGAAAGAGGGATGGAAAGAAGTGTAAAAGGAGGATCAGGAGAGGAAAGAAGGATATATAAGGTGGCGTTTTGGAATGTGGCAGGACTGAAGAACAAAGAGAAGGACTTTCGGGAGGGAATAAAAAAATGGGATGTAGTGGTGATGTGTGAAACATGGGTGGGAAGAAGGGAGTGGGAGGGAATAAGGAGTAAAGCGACGAAAGGATATGTGTGGGAATTACAATATGCGGTAAGGAGAGGGAAGAAAGGACGGGCTATGAGGGGAATGCTTATAGGGGCAAGGGAAGGAATCAAAATGATGAGAGTGGAAAGGGAGGAGGAGGAGGAGGAAGAGGGGATAATGGCTAGGAAAATATGGTTAGGGGAGGAGGTGTGGAATATGATAGGAGTATATGTGAATAAGGATTTGCAGAAGAAGCTGGAGAGAATGAGGGAATGGATGGAAGAAAGGGAGAAGGGGTAAGGGTTATAATGGGTCGAGATTTAAACGCTAGGACGGGAACGCAAGGAGGATGGGGGTCAGAGGAGGGGGGAAAGGAAGAAGAGACAAGGAGGTCGAAGGACAAGAAGATAAATAGTGAGGGAAGGAGACTATGCCAATTTCTGGGAGAGCTAGGGTGGGGGATAATGAACGGAGATGTGACAGAGGATGAAGAGGGCGAATTCACGTATACAGAGAATGGAGAGTCAGTGATAGATTATGTGCTAGGAAATGAAGAAACGAGGGTAAGAACGGTAAGGTTGGTAGTAGAGGAGAAAGTGGAATCGGACCACCAACCAGTGGTAGTATGGATAGAGGGTGGAAAAGGGGAAGATGGGAAAAGATGGAGAAGGAGGAAAGGGGGGAGAGTGAAAAAGGGGTGGTGGACAGAAGACAGAAGGAAGGAATTTGGGGAAGGGTTTGTAGGGAAAGAAGGAAGGGGAAAAGAGGTAGAAGAGGTGTGGGGAGAATTAAAAAGGGAGGTATTCCAGGTGTTAGAAAAGATGGAGAAGAAGTATAATAGGAAGGAAGGAAGAGATGCGTGGGATGAGGAATGGAAGAAGAAAAAAAATATAGCGGAAGAGAAATTGAAAAAATGGAAAAGGGAAGGAGGAAGTGGGGAAAGCTTTAGGAAGACAAGAGGCGAGTTAGGTAAAATGAGTAGAAAGAAGAAAAGTAGAGAAAAAGAGAGGTGGGAGAAGGAGATAGAAGGGATAAGAACAGAGGGAGAGATATGGAAGGTTGTCAATAGGGGAAGAAAGCGGAGGAAAGGAGTGAATACAGAAATAGAGATTGAGGCTTGGGACGAATATTTTATAGGGGTATTAGGAGGAGTGGGCTGGAGGGTAGAAAGAGAAGAGAGAGGGGAGCAGGGGGAGGATGAAGAGGAGGAAGTAAGTAGAAAGGAAGTTTGGGCGGTAGTAAAAAAGTTAAAAGAGGGGAAAGCAACAGGAGGTGATGGAATCCCAAACGAAGTATGGAAGTATGGAGGGGAAGTAGTAAGGGAAAGATTATGGGAAATCTGTAACCGGGTGTGGAGAGGGGAAGGCTGGCCACAAGACTGGTCGGAAGGAGTGGTAGTGCCAGTGTTAAAGAAAGGAGATGGACAAGAGTGGAGGAGTACAGAGGGGTGACGCTTACGCAGACGACGTACAAGGTGTATGCGGGGGTATTGGCGGAGAGGCTAAGGAAAGAGATAGAGGGAAGAGGGATTCTACCACCGAATCAGACAGAATTCAGGAAGGGAGTGGGGACAATGGATAACATCTATGTACTCAACTATCTAATGAACAGGCAGATAGCAAGGAAGGGGGGCAAGTTGATAGTACTGTTTGTGGACTTGAAGGCAGCTTTTGATTCGGTGGATAGGAAGGTATTAGCAGAGTTGATGAGGAAGGTGGGGGTGAGAGAAGGGCTGGTGAGGAGGTGCGTGGAGATTTCGAGAGAGACGAGAAGTAAAGTGAGGGTAGAGGAGAAAGAGGGGGAAAGTTTTTGTGGCAGGGTATAGGTTAGGGGATAAAATGAAAGGGGGAAGGTATTGCGAAGAGGAGGATAGAAGGAGATGCAGGGTTTGTTGGGGAGGAATAGAGTCGTGGGAGCATGTATGGGAGGAATGTACGGACTGGGGTAGAGAAAAAGGGTGGCAGGAGGTTGTGACGGAGGTGCTAGGGGAAGAGGGGGAAGGGGAGGTGTGGATGAGGAGAGTGGAAGAGATGAGAGGAAGGACGAGCGGCGGAAACGGAGGTCAGGAATGAGAGTGTGTGTAGGAATAAATGAATGGAATCTCCCTCTCTCTCTCTCTCGCAGGTGTGAATGGAAGGAAAAGTTAGATGTAAGCTGAGAAGTAAGACTTAGTGTATAAGTAGTGTTAAGAGGAAGTAATGTAAGCGGAGCGGAGGTCCGCTTGTACTCCGCAAAGAGAATAAACTATAACTAACTAACTACCGGAGTTAGGAACAATTGAGTAAAGGTACAAAAATCCCAATTTTACTCTGTTTTTGTATTTTTCTTCTATTTATATAGGAAACGTTTATTTAATTGATTTCGACTAGAAAGAATGTTGAGAGGACTACATTTGGTTTCTCATCATAGAAACGAACGGAATGAATAACAGAAGACAAAGTAAAGGCCGAAATTATTTGTAATCGAAATCAATTAAATAAATGTTTCCTATATAAATAGGAAAAAATACAAAAACAGAGTAAAATTGGGATTTTTGTATCTTTACTCAATTGTTCCTAACTCCGGTATTCATCCATAGATTTTCTTCAACAAAAGCTTGTTTTCTTCGTACAAGTGCGATCTATACGCAGACAATAAGAAACTGGACATAATTTGACAATTTCTGTTTTTCCATGGCGATGGAAGAAACTTTCGTGTTCTATTTTAGCCAAAAAAATCAAAGTTTCTGATATATATTGGCTCGTAACACTTAAACTATTGAACCGATTGAAAAATAGTGTTAAAAGCAATTGTTGGAAATTTGAGTATGCGACCTAATCGGACGTTTCTAACTCGAGATATGGCCTAAAATGTGAACGTATGTCAGAAAAAAATCGAAACAAAATTCAAAAATTCATATAAAAAAACCTATCCTTTAAAAAGGTTTTTATTGCAATTTTCGAGTTTAGTAGGCCAGAATACATAAGAAAAAAATGGTGACATTGAATGTATAATTCTTTTTTATTTTGTAAACTAGTGTTATTCAATTTTAAACGTTGTTTACTTCAAAGCTATGTTAAGGGGTTGCACATGCATCATTAATTATTATGCCTGTTTTTCTCGAAACTATCTTTTCATAGTCGGTGACCACTTTAATTCAAAAACTCGTCGGAATTGAATGAAATTCATACACTTTATTCTAGGCATAAAAAACTAGTTATTGATCGAAGGATTTTTCGTTTTGATGAAAACTTCAACTTTTGTAAACAATAAACATACCCATTTTTCCTTAAAAATGCGTAAGTAAATTATCGGCGGTACTAATTATATACCGCCTTTGTACTATTACTGCCGTAAGACGTAATCTGGTAAAAATAAAAACATTTGAAATACGTAAAAATGCGGCCTATAGAAAAAAAGTGTCATTTTTAGGTACAAATTGTGCCGTAATCATGCAATAAATATAGTGTAAATAATGAAAATTTTTAATTAAAAATGGGTTCACTCCATTAAAAATTTAATTACGGCAATGTAGCTGTTTACTGCAAATCAATTATTGAAATATAATTGAGTTATGCTTCATGCAGATTTGGAAAAATTAGTTTTGAGAAAAACGCGTTTAAAGTTTTAATTGCACTATGTGTGTACCTTTGTGCAGATAAACGTGTAGTTGTGAAACCATTATAACATCGAATTTCGACCTGGATCTTGTACTGTTACGTTCTTAAAGAACTAGAACATTTATTTAAGCAAAAAAAAAAATGAATTTTTTGCATTTTACTTGAGTCTCTCTCTTTAAATTGAAGTTTGAAGTTAGTAGATTGAACAGAGCCCACGAGTCGGTCAAACAATGACGGAGCATCTTCTTCCTTTCTTCTATCCTTGTTTGAACAATTGGCAGGCTGCGTTTGAAATCTACTGATTTCAAACTTCATTTTTAGGCTTTGCGTTAAAATAAATGACTTTGCATTGTAGGTTAATGAACTCGTCTTATCATCAACATTCATAATATGCAAAAAAATCTCATTGTTCCATTTTAAAAAATGGTAATGACCTTGTCACAGTTTCAGCACATACGACAAAATAAAAAATAGTAGCTACATTTGGTTGTTCTCTTCGAATAATCTAACATTTACCTGAGAAATCTTTTTGTATCAACAATAGTTTGACCATTATCGCTCTCTAATAGTTTAACTGTTCCACCGTGTATGTACGCGGACTTTCTTCAGACTTCTTTGAACTCAATTTTTCCTCAAGGTGCAATATCGATTGCAAAATGCTGTTATAAAAACCTCGTGACGTACCAGACGTGTCAAAAATTATTTTCCTTATCGCGAAGTTTAATCTATGCCATGACGCACGATATAGTACGTATGTATAGACAAGGAAAATGGTTTTGTGATTCAATGAAATAATTCATTTTACTGAGAACATCATCAAAATACCCAGATAGCACAGGGACGTCCCTGGGACGTCCGGCGTGGACATTCTATGTACGTCCTTGGGACGTCCGATGTGGACATTCCCAGAACGTTCTCTGTATGTCCCTGGGACGTGTGGTGTGGACATTCCCAAAACATTTTCCGAACGATCGAAATGAACGTTAAAATGAAATTTATGTTTAGAAGATGTGTGTATTGAATATTTGGACAATGTTGAATAAATTTTGAAAATTGAGATTTAAAAAAAAATTAAATTTTAATTTTATATATTTTCTTTTATTTGTTGGTAGACTTTAGTCAATTGTATTTATTAACAAATCTTTCCAATTTTTATTTACCTCCGGGGGGGATTCGAACTCACGATTTTCGAACTACCAACGCAACCTGTTCCCCACTTACCCATAAAAGCCTTTGCTAACCCGACTCATATTTTGGGCTTATATAGTGACTCGCATTAATATTCGGACACTTTTTAAAACAGAATTCCTTCTTTTGAAATTGGTCTAAATGACTTGAACTTTTTTTTGAAAAGTTAGAAGAATTACTTTACTAGGTAATTCTGAATAGTTCCAAATATTACATACATATCACATCTCATATGTACGAAAAATATTGTATTCCTAATATTGAATAAACATTTTGTTTTACATGTGCAAACATATATTCTGTTACGAATATTAGATAAATATGTTTTTTATCTACGGAAAAATGTATTCTGTTGCGAATATTAAATAATGACTGTATACCCAGATAGCACAGGAACAGGAACGTCTTATGTACGTCCATGGGACGTCCGGTGCTATCTGGGTATGTTGCACTTACTCTGATGCAAGTAGCTTTGTTTAATTTTTTTATAGCGACATTCGATGTCGCTCTGAAGAAAATATTTTTCTTTTCAACAATACAATAAAGAAAGAAACCAAAACTTGGAGAGTCTATTCAACTGGAATGAAAAAATAATAAACAACCATACAAACACTAAGAAAATAAAAATAGACAAAGAATCAGGCAGAGATATAGTGAATAAAGCAATTCCTACGTCAAGAACAAACCAGCACTTCTTAGAAAAACATAATCTCAAAAAAGAAGAAACAGTAATTCTGGTAAAAATAAAAACAATTGAAATACATAAAAATGCCTATAGAAAAAAAAGGGTAATTTTTAGGTACAAATTGTGCCGTAATCATGCAATAAAAACTGTGTAATTATATATACAGACGGCTCGAAGCAACAAAACAGAAAAGCAAATGGAGTGGGCCTAATTATAATACATCCAAACAGGGAGGAAGAGGAAATAGGATACAGTATAAACAATAAAGGCACTATATACACAACATGAGCAATAGGTATCCATAAAGCTATCAACAAATTCAAATATACGAATGATAAGAATCTCTTGATACTAACAGACTCACTTTCCGTTATAATAGGTTTAGAAACAATAATAGAAAAATCAGAAATCTCAGATAAAAAGAAGGACAATGGATGAATATTTAATATGTACAAAACTCTGATTGACATGGAAAAGCTAGAAACTGCAGTATTAGGATGGATCCCAGGGCATCAAGGAATACCAGGAAACGAGAAGGCAGACAAGACGCGACATCTTAGTAGACGATCAGGACAATGTCCAGGATTAGATCTAATCATATGAACTTAAAAGAATCGCTAGACAGAAAGCGCATTATAGAAACCAAAATCTGTGATTGCAACATGGATGAGGAAACCATAGGGTATGTACTATTTTACTGTCCCCTAAGAAACCTCCCACGAATCGACCTTTTTAACGAGATAGGAACAATAATTATTGATTGTAACTACGACATAGCGGATACAGTAAAGACTGATAAAATAGCTGTGATCAAAGCCTTCATAAAGTTCCTAAACGATGCGAATATCATACTATAGATATGCCGCGGAAAATAAAGATGTAAACATATAACTAGCTGGTTATTGTTGCTCGCTTAATTCATATAGCTATTCATGTTTATTTTGTGTGCGACCCTTTACGGGCTACACAAGGAACTTCCCGATTTCCGATTACAGCGCCATCTATCGCATGATAAAAAATGAGCTGTTCCATTAAAAAGATCATGTTGACCTTGACGTGACTTTGGTCGTCCTTTGAAGGTCAAACGGACATGATCGTACAATAGAATTTTTGAAAGCCTAAAACATTTCTCGAAACCATTTTCTCACAAATGTTCCAGTTTGGAAATATTTGACTGTTTCCATACTTTTGGAGCATCCTGTATGTACATGTGTTATACATATGCATACAAATGTAATAATAGTAATATATGTATATATATTATTTCCGTTTAGTTATTCGCTCATAAATTTATATTTTTCCATCTAGATTGCGTTATTGAGTTAAGTTTTCTTAAAAAAACTAAAAAACTACTGGACCGAATTAGAACAAAATCTAATCAGCTCTAAGTTAGATTGATACACATCGATTGCATCATCGATCATTTTGATCTCGCTATTAGTTTTTTAGAAAACGTTAACGAAAAATTTGTTTATACATACGCGCGCGCGCACACACATTTTTATTTGTTAAAAATAGGCTAAAATTACTCCAATGACCTTGAAACATGGAGATCTGCTAAAAAATCGATTTTTCATTTTAGGGACAAATACGATAACTTCCCTATAAATCGGGAAGTTAAAAAACACGTACTGCTTTAAGAAAGAAATTTATATTTTGCTATTACATGTTTACTACAATAGTACGGGTATCACTAAGACGTTGTCAGTATTGTTATTAATTTTATAATTTATATCGTACGTTAGAAAAAAAAAGAGAGAGTGAAAGGTTAAGACTAGCAGTCCTAAAGGGGGAATAGGAAAAGAGGATCCAACTCTCTACACCAAAAGCAAAAGTGTACAATTTGTAGAATAAGGAACAAGCGAAAAGAATAGACTAGGAAATTAGGATAAAATGTAGGCATTAACTGGGATAGAAACTAAAATAACACTAATGAGTAAATAATTAAAAAAAAAAACAATGGTCAAATAAAACAGTATTATTGTAAACCGTCAAACAACCAGCGTCGCGTAGAATATAAGTAAATAGAATAAGGAGTTAGATATAAATAAAGAACATTGTGATAAGGAAATGTGTTTATACATACATACATACATACATACAAAATATTTTATACATGCAAAACAAAATATTTTATTTATCATAAGAAATTTTTAAGATGATATTTCAAATTATATTTTATTTGAAAAACACTGAAAATATTTGTACCATAGTTCGGAATAATTTATTTTACTAAATTATAGTGTAAAAAATAATATATATATCGAATTGAGTAACTCCTCCTTTTTCGAAGTTGGATAAAAAATATACTTATTTTGGTAATCTAAAACGAACGAAGTACGTTTCCTCTGCATTATAAACATACATTCAATGTAGTTCTTCAATGAATACTTCTATTAAGAATCTTCATAAAATGAATGATGGAAAAAGATACTTTTTCAATCGCAAAAAATCATAATATTTCCAAGAAATAGTTTCTCCATCTGTGTATCATATGTAGATACACAGTTTATTTCCAAATTAAGAACTATGGAAAGTATTCTATTTTATGCTTTATGTTATTAAAATGAAACATATTTTATTTTATGTGTTAGATTATCAAAATAAAATATTTATTTTCATGCTTTAACTATAGATTACCAAAATAAACTATTTTATTTTACGTTTTACATTATCAAAATAAAATATTTTATTTGCTGAAATTTTATATCCCATTTGAAATACTACTTTATTTGAATTATGAAGAATCTATTATTTGAAATAGTATTTAAAATATTTAGTCTATAAATATTACCCACCTCTGTCTCTAACTCTCTAGAATATTACTCCACTGCGTCTAAAGAACTAATCGAAACGTGTAAAACAGTGAAATACCTGTCTTTTAAGCAAATTCAAAACAATATTTCAATTGTACCAAAATGTCTGAAAACATAGTATCTTTTCGAAAAGTATCTTGAGACCAACGTCCATTTTTTCATGTTATACTCCCAATGGAACAACCATATATACTCACTTATATAGAAATCAGAGGTATAAAGATTAAATATTCATTCGATTCAAATTATGTTTCCTCGATACTTTCACTTTATTGAATTCAAAGGGAGAAGGAAAATTGAATGTAGGGAAATCCTGTATGACGTAAACACGAAAAATCGCTATAAAATTTATATTATTCCCAATGCTATGTAGTAATAGAAAATAACATACAATAATGTCGGTTTCGTTCGCTAATGTATCGCTACGAACATTTCTTGTTATGCTCCATCAAACAGATAGATCATTGCTCGCATGATACGTAACAATTAACTATGTATTTCACAAACGCGCAATACTTAATGTCCTGAATACATTATTACGGTAAGACAAATCCGTTTGACTTTGTTACATATTCATGGAATCGATTGTTTCCTTCGATATTCACGAACGATTAGATACGTTACTGAGAACCCACAGACATTCGATGTTTGATATTTTTCTTCTTTAGATCAGGTTTCCGTTGTATCGCGAACACCTAATTAAAAACAAATATAATCGAATGCAAAGCGCAATCCGTGGTTACGTAATCATTTCTGTAACACGGGCACTGAAAGCTGATCGATTTATAATACCTATATCCGAAGAAGATGTTTTGCCGAAAATTTACAAAATAAATGTTTCTTTTTTACAGCATCATCAACGTTATAAATAAAAACTTAACGATGTATACACATTTTATTTGCGTATTCATTTTTAATATTTACTGTTACTATCTTATATTTACAACGTTGAAACAGTAAATAATTAATTGTTGCAGTTGCATACAAAAATAATTCGTAATCTCGTATTGTATACATGTACAAAGGGAGGTATTCTTCGAGTAAGGTTCTTTGTTTCATTTCATGATTGCATTTTCTACTACCATTTATTTATTCGAATAATGGAAATATTTTCTCAACATCGATAAATAAATACTTTACTTAATTAATACAAGAAATTTAACAAACTAACAAAATTATACAAATTAGATTATTAAAATAATTTATTTATCATATCAAAATGAAAAGTTAACAACTTATGGTTACAATTTTCATAAATAACTCTGACTTTGGCTTTAACATTTTTAAATATGTCCTTGAAACATTAAATTATTGCAATTGAAATCGTTGGTATGCCAATGACGTGTACTTAGAATTTCTGTTTCGGAAATTGCTAATTATTTTACTACTCCATTTGCGTGCATGGATAATCCTTTTCATCATTTAAATTTGCAACTACGTGTACGTTACATAAGTAAGGATTTTTGCAAGTTAACAAAAAGTGAGTCGACGAGGATGGGATTCGAACCCACGCGTGCAGAGCACATTGGATTAGCAGTCCAACGCCTTAACCACTCGGCCACCTCGTCCGATGGCAACCACTGCTTTATTGATTCTATTTTTATAGGACTGATTTTTATTAACTTAAATATATATTTTATAAACCTTACACTAATCAAACGTAAGTAAAATTACATTTGAGTAAGAGATAACAAATGAAACCAACGTATGACAATTAATTCATAAAATTTATTCATATAAGAAATTAATTTCAAAAATTTATTCATTTATCAAATTTATTCATTTATTCATTTTATTTATTCAGAAAATTTATTCATAAAAATTTTATACATTTTACACAAACAGAAAATGGAGAAAAGTACATTTGAATATTACATAGCAAATAAATTCTACAAATTGTTCTTAAATGCTTATTTGATTGAACGGTTAAATTTTTATTTATTCATCGTGAAGTATTTCATTTTATAATTCAAATATTAATTTCCATTTAAAGAATAACGTATGGATAGATGCTTATCTTGCCTTCTCCATTCCAAATTCTTTTCATGATAAGAATTTAAAATTGCTGAATATTTGTCACATTAAAATTATTCGTATTATTTGAACAACTCAAATATATTCATGAAAAGTGTTTTTTCGAAACCAAGGAAAGAAACAAAATAACCATGATTCAAAAATGGCCGTACCTCCTTTCCAAATATGAATGCAAATAACAAAAGGAAGAACAATTTTTTGTTCGTCACGCGTTGAATGAAAATTTAAATTTGTATTACAGAATGAAATATTTCACAGTTCACGAATACAAATTTAACTGATCAATGGGACAAACCTTGATACGTAATGATAATAGTAGGCGAGATGTGTTGCATAATTGAATGAACAATCCAGAAATGTTAACAAAATGGAGGAAATAACGGATTTAGATTACGACGCGATTTTCAAGAATTTTAAAAGAATGTAAATGATGACTGCCACCTGGAGACAATGCAGATTCGATCGTAGATAAGGAAGAATCACGTGCATCAAATTTACGTACATATCGACCGAGGAATTCAGCATTCCTTGGATTACCTTGGATAAGAGCCAACGCACTTTATTTCCATGAACTTCCCGTATGTTATCCCTTACCGACCGGTAGCCTATTAATTATCTCTTTTCCATGGCAAACAATACGTTCTTATTTATTACTGAGATAGCACGATCTCATTGTATGCTTCCATTAATATGTGGATTATGAAATATTATATAAATATAAATATAATATAATATAACACTAATGTTATGAAAATAAACAATATTATTGTCCAAACGCTACCGGTCGGTAAAGTGTTAACAGAGCGCTATCCAATCAGCGTTGGATCAATATCATTCGAGGTTCCGTCCTGGAACGAGGGTAGGTAACATTTTGTACGACAGAAACAAAAAATTTCACATTTATGAACAAAATAACAAGTAGTTGCATATTAGAGTGGTCCTTATCTTAATCATTTTTGAAATCTATGTTACGCACACTCTAAATACCTTGCACATATATACAAAAAAATTCCTGCATAGCTTGAGCTCTTAATTTTAACATTAACACTTGCTCCAAATCTTTAAGTTTTAAATGAAAAGTACATGCAATTTTTCCAAACAGTTACTTCTTTTTATAACTTCGATAAAAATTAATAAAATAATTTAAAAGTATCGAATTAATACTTACAATAATACAAATATGCACTAAAAGTTTCAAATTTTTATCTTAATTATTTCCTTGTGTATGATTTAAATAAAATTTGTTTTATTTACTACAGACAGCTTCAAAGGCACAGGGAACATCTTTCCTATATTCTTTTACTATTTGCAATATAGATAGTTATAATCTACATAATAGAGTAAGATGTACTTTGTCCACGATAAGTGCACATGCCATGTGATGAGCATATGAGCCATGATTTTTTACATTGATACCCATATCTTTACGTTCACGCATAATAACATTTGTAATTCAAATGTTTTGTTGTACATATTGTTTTATTTCTGTTATACAATTAAAAAACATTGTTTCCAGATCTATTTCTGGTTTCTTCATTATGCAAAGTAGTTTCAATGTAATTTTGCTAGCATTGATATCATTGGGATAACACTTCTTTTGATATCGTACCATTTTTGTAGAAATTATGAAATTTAATTGCTTCTGTCAATTAAAAAGAATTTTGTGGCGTGAAATGAAGTAATTACTTTCATAAAAAAATTTTCTACATTCCCATAATTTCATTTAATAAGAATTTCCGAGTTCGACAGTTTTCGTTGTTGGTAACATGTCTATTCAAACTATATTCGTTAAAATCTAACCTTTTATCATATTTAATATTTGTTTCTATCTTCGTCACTTTTGAAAAATTATATTTAATAAGTATTTCATTTACAATTTCGAAGGACAATTTTCAACCTTTAAATATGAATATCAGCTGATATAAAAAATATACGTGTGCTATATTGGGTGTCCCAATAATGTTGGTACTCCTTGAAAAGGGTTGTTCGGTAGGTGTTTTGCAACAAATTTTCCTTAGCGAAAATGTTGTCCGAGGCTTCGTTGAGGAGATATTAACGAAAAACATTGACCAATCAGAGCAAGAGTATACCGAAGGACCGCCCGCGGTAGGCGTAGGCTACGCGCTAGGCGTAAGCCACGCGCTAGGCGGCCGCGCTTATACGCTACCACGGCCGCTCCAACGGTACACTCGCGCTCTGATTGGTCAGTGTTTTCCGTTAATATCTCCTCA